TTTGAACAGAGTCACAAAAAAGAGTATAATATCAACGCCACAACCATGTTCACAAACATCTTCTTAATTTCACTGCTTCTTTTGGAATTTGTTGTTTCTCTTATTCCTGCGACGAAAACTTTGATCCGCYATGAGGTCTTCTTGAACACCAAGAAGAATCCCGACAATGCCCAGTCGCAGCATTCTCTTGCGGTTGGAACATTTGTGGAATTTGAAGAAAAGAAGCACCGTGCCCACATTGGCAAGATTGAAGAGGTAGAGCACAAATCTAACGGTGGCACTCGTTACGGCATTAAGGATAGTGACGGGCATCATTTCAATATTCCCGACAAAAATGTCCATTTTTCGGTTTACCCGCCCAACTCTCCTGGACCAGCAGGTGAGTTGTATCGTGAGCTCATTATAGCTCACGAGGCATCCGAAGAAGAACTCCAATCTAAATTAGAAATATCCCCAGAGATTCTTGAGCTCGCGTGGGAGGAAGCACTTGAAAACGAAGATGCTAGTGGAGAACACGCCGTGTCGCCAGAAAAATTGATTGAATTGGTTCATTCTCATGCCGCTTCTGCTATCGAGAAGTACCAGGCTTGGAGGCTTCTCCAAAGTGATCTCGCCCACGTATTCTTTAAGGACTTGAAGGACCACGGTCGTATCACCTCGTTCAAAATTAAGGGAAGAAAAGCCGTCGAGACTGCCAAAATAGCCTTTTGCAACTCTCACGAGGAAAGTGATTTGTGTTTGATCTAGACCTGTGGAGCATGAGAGAGGAACCAAACTTTTTCTTCTGAGAATTCTTCGAGATGTAGATTAATGTTGGTCTACGAAACCCTCGTTGAGATGTATTCGGACCAAATAAAGTAGATGATCATTTTTTATCGTTCCTGTTTTGTACTGATAAACAAAGACATATAATTGCTTGATTGATCGTTCACAAGAAGAATCGCCTCTAAGAACATTATCGCTTCATGAAGCATCTTAAATTATCAGCCGTTCGACAAAGTGTTTGTGCAGTACATAACACGATTTTTTCAAAATCCATTCTCTCCGGACAATCCAGCTATGATAAGGTCGTGCACATACCGGTACCGTCACRGCGTCACATTTATTTCAAATTTGCATCGAAAGTGTGACTGATTATGATTCACTTCTGCCCATAAAAGCACGCGATGACGAATCTGACGATCTCTCAGGATCTAGAAATATAATAGATGGGGCTGCATCGAAGTATTCTTGATCACAACGTGCTAGATGACAATATTTTCAAGATATCCTTGGAGCTGTCATTCAGTTAGAGCACTGCAAAGTTTTGCTTCCGTATCGGACTCTTGGAGTGGTCATTCAATTCCTCAATCATGTCATAAGTAGCTCATGGAATGACATGAGGCAAAGTGCTCCTAGAAGACTACCACTCGCAAACGATGGATCCAACAACACGCGGCCTCGAGAGAAAAAGGAATTGGTTTTACCTTTCTGTGAATCTAAATCGGAATTTTTGTTTGATAATCCCGCTAAACGCAGGCCGATCCAATGACCCAGTGCCATTGTAAGAAACGAAGCAAGCAATCCGAAGATTCCCGCCTGCAATGGCGAGACGCCGATCGCACCACCTGAAATTTGAAAGAGCCCACGAGGAAATTTTGTCTCGTCAGATACGAACAACGGAAAGAGGACAAGCCTGATCCTTTTAAAATCAAAATCTCCTTATAATCATGGTGTTTGGATTTCACTGGACATACCTGCCACTCCTCCGGCCATGTTGTTGAGTGTCATGGGAAAAGCGAGTTGTATTGCGCGGTAGATATCCAAGTTTGGACTAGTCTGATTTTCGATGTAACCCGAATTTCTTCTTTCCGAAAACCTGTTGTTATCGTCATTCGACGGGGACTCTACGTGTTTTGCTCCTTCCGTCGATTTTAAGTGTCGTTTTCTTCGCACCGTTTGAAAGAAGTCGCCGAATTCTCGAAGCGCCAAGCCACCGAAGRTGATGGTAGATAGTAACGGAGAAGCACAAGGCGGCAAGTTGTGACCAAGCGCGGTGCCCCCGAAGCCAGCTAGCCAAGCGCCAGCGGCGTTGCAAATCGAAATCAATGCGTTCACTCCGAAAGAAAGACTTCGGCTGGAAATTCCTACAGACAGCCCCACCATSAAATTATCAGTGGAAGAGGCCAAAGCCACCAGAAGTGCTTCTAAAAACATTGTAGTCGTCGACTTCAGTGGCAGCACGTTCTCTTAATCACCCTCTGCATTAGCATCAGACAAGACTCCTCTAAGACCATTGCTGAACTTGTTAACAGAACTCGTTGTAAAATCATCGATCAGATCTATCATGAACCTACCGGTAATAATTTTCCGGACCGGGTAAAGGCGATCAATCATATGGCGATCAATCAATTACGTACGTACTACC